TATATAATATTTTTTATTAATAAATATCTTTCGACTATATTTCAAAATTGCATAACTTTTAATAATTATTTAATTTTAATCCTAAAATTTGATAGAATTGAAAACTTTTGAATAAAGGGACCTAATTTAAGCATTAAAATCCAACAAATCAAAGTATCTAATCCTAACAATTTATTGGGTCCAACTTAACATGAGTCTCGCCCGAGTTTCTCCACCATGTAATTGTAATTCATTTTTTTGAAAAAGATTAGGTTCTTTGTTAATAATCTAAATAATTAAGTAATTATTTTTTTATAAAAAATAAAATATTTTAAATTTAAATCATATAATATATAAATAAAATAAAATAAAAAATAATTACTTTTTATTATATAATTAAAATCAAAATAAAAAATTACCTTCTTTAGGTGATAACAATACATATCAACTCCAAAAAATAAAAAAAAAATAAAAAAAACTCATCGGTTAATGTTAAAGTGCATGACAGAACTTATTCAAGTTTTGGCATTAGTTGTTTTCAAAACCAGGTTCGTTCCTGCCTGGTTTTGAACCTGGTTTTCAAAAAGAAAAGAAAAGAAAAGAAAAAGCTCACATGCCATGGTACGCCCCTGCTTGCGTCATTAAAACTCAAAATTAATGCGTATAATTTACTTAAATAAAATTTTAATTTAATAATTATTTTTTAAAAATATTAATTAAATTTTTTTTGTAAGTTATTTGATAAATTTAGAATGATAATTTATAAAATATTTTTTTACATATAATATATCATTTTTTTATTTTTATATTAGATGATGACTTAAATTTAAAAAGAAGTTAAATTTAAAAAGAGATTTTTTCATTAATCAAATAATAAATTATATAATAAAAAATAATTTTTTTAGTTTAAAATCTATTTTCACCTATTTTAAATTTTTTAATATAAATTCTCAAATTCTTAATTATTAAAATATTTTTTAAAAGATAAAAGATAATTTCTTTACCCATATTAAAATTTAAAATTAAAATATCTAACATAAAATTTCAAATCTTTATCATATATTTAAGTTGAGAGAAATAAAAAAAAAGAAAAAAAAAGATTTTTAAACCAATTTAATTATAATATTTTTTAAAATATTATAATTTAATTAATTAAATTTTTGTTAATTTTCCTTCACATAATCATACTATAAATAAATACAACGAACCACGTTTCAAAAAAAGAAAAATGAAAAAAGAAGAAAACAACGAACCACAAAGAACGTTTGCGATTGGTAGCGAAAATATAAAATATATAGGGCCAAGTTGTGCCAATCGTTCCTTTTTTCCTTACCCTTAACGGCAATTGCGCGGTTGGGTTTGCAATGTGGTGGCTTTATCTCGTCACTTGTGAGGTGTTGAATTCGTCGTCCATCTCCATCGTCACATGCTTTCGTTGTCATCATGAGCCAAATGCTAGGAACTTTCTGTCATTTCCTTTTCAAACAAAATTTTCCTTCCATCAAAATGATTATTTTGGTAAAAAGACGTTGGATGGGACATCACTTAGTGGACACTCCTTTACTTTTTTGGTTAAACCCTCTTTTGTCCTTCAACTATTGTACAGATTGCCAATTGAATCCCTCAACTCAAAAAATCTCTGATTTGGTCCTTATTATTTACCATTTTTACCCCAATTTGGTCATTCCGTTAAAAATCTACCTACATGTCCATTAACAAACAGAAACCTAATGTACACGTTAAAACATTATGTCCATGTGGAAAGCCAACTAGCAAAAAAAAAAAATAATGATTTGACAATAAGAATTTAAAAAATTCTTTCTCCTTCATCTTTCTCTTTCTCTTTCCTCGCCTTCTTCATTAATCAATTCTTCTTCTTCATCAATCAATTCTTCATCATCATCATCATTAAACAACACTCATATCAAACAACACCCACAAAAACATAGAATTTTTTTTTTTTTTTTGCCAAAGAACCCAATGCTTGGGTTCAACGAATTCAACATTGGGTCCATCGGGTTCCAAGGAACCTAGGCGTCGAGTTCCAAGGAACCCCGAGCCTGGGTTCGATGAACCCAACGCCTGGGTTCGTCCGAACCCGGAGCCTAGATTCCAAGGAAACTCGAGCTTGGGTTCGATGAACCCAGTGTCGGGTTCCTAGCATCGGGTTCCAAGGAACTTAGGTGTTGGGTTTGATCGAACCCAGGTGTCGAGTTTCGAGGAATCTAGCGCCTAAATTTCAAGGAACCTCAAGCCTGGGTTTGATGAACCCAGTGTCGAGTTCCAAGGAATCTAGGTGTTGGGTTCGATCAAATCCGGCTCTGGGTTTTAGACCCTAAGGGGAAAGAAAAAGGAAGGAGAAGAAAAAAAGAAAAAGAAAGAATTTTTTAAGGTTTTTGTTATATTATTATTTTTTTCCATGTCATTATTTTTTGTCATGTTGTCTGCCATGTAGGATAATATTTTGACATATCATCATTTTATTGTAAATTAATGGTACACATTATGAGATTTTTAACGGAGGAACCAAGTTGGGGTAAAAAAGTAAACAGTAAGGACTAAATCAGAGATTACTTGAGTTGAGGAACTTAAGAACTTAATCAGAAGTCCGTATAATAATTGAGGGTTCAAAAAAGGGGTTTAACTTACTTTTTTTTTTTTACCAAAATAAAAAGTGTTTTTTTACTTTATTTTTCTTTTATTTATTTTATTTAAAAAAATAAAAAATAAATTTTTTAATATGTTGAATAATTAAAAGATAATAATAAAATTAAAGTAAAAAAATATTTATTTTTTAAATAAAAAATTATTATAATAAAAAATATTTATTATTATAAGGTTGAGGAGTAGAAAAGAAAAAGACAAATTCAAGCACTAAAGAACTTTTCACTCAGCTCTCCCGCCAATGCAAATAAAAGAAAAGTAAATGATTGTGAATTTAGATTTTACTTTCTTAGTACTGGTAAAAATTTCCCCACATTCGCTTTCGTAAAGTCTCGCTCCTTTTTCCTTTTTCCTTTTTTTTTAAATGTTAATTTGATCCTTAACTTTCAAATTTATATTAAAATTATCCTTAAATTTTTAAAAAAATCAAAATTATCTATAAACTTTAATTTTTAATATCAAAATAACCTTAAATTTAAGACATTAGAACTAATTTAGTCCTTAAACTTTAAACAAGTATTAACTTGGTATTTGTGCTTTGATTACAAGAACATATTTAGTCTTTTAACTTTAATTACACGTCAATTTAATGTGCAAATAAAATTATGCTATAATGGCAAAATATAGCTATTCAATTTTACATATCATTAGCATTTTAAAGAATAATTGATTTTGTAATAAGATAACAAGTCATGTGATATTTCTATTAACATAAGGATTGTTTTAGTATTGAAAATTAAAATTTAAGAAAAATTTTAGTATGTATTTTTTTAACTTTAAGGATAATTTTGATACAAATCTAGAAGTTAAAGTATCAAATTAGTATTTGAACCTTTCTTTTTCTCATATGCTTTGGATAAGATAAGGGAAAGAAACAAGGATTTTAGATTGTTGAGGGATTTAATTACATATAAATTTTATATATTATATTTGTATAAAATTTTAATTATTTGTTTATTTTATTTTTAATAATTGATATTTATTATAACTTTTTAAGTAAAAAAATAATTATTTTAATAAATGTGAATAAATTTTAATCATTAAAAGTCAAAAAGATGAATGATTAAAATTTTATATAAACATAATGTGTAAGATCTATGTGTAAATAAATCCCTTATCTTTTAAATTATTTAATGTCTATTTTGAAAAATTAAATTCAAAGTAAATTCATTTACAATTTGATTAGCATATTGAAATAAATGGACTAATTTTTTGAGCCGTAGCGAGTAGGCCATTGTCTTAAGCAACATAAAATCTTAGGTTAATTAAATAAGATTAAACTTTTAATTTGGTTCTTCAACTATTATAGGAACCTGAATTTGTTTTTGAATTAAAAAAATTCATGATTTGGTCCCTAAAGTCTATAAATTTGACTCCAAATTAATTAGTCCCATCATTAAAAAACAACTAATATGTTTTATTACTAATATGACACGCAATTATCAAGTAACAGTTTTTTGCCACCAAATTACAGACATGCTAACTATTTTTTAATGAACAGACCAACTTAGAGCTAAATTTAAAAATTTTAGGGATTAGATTAAAATTTTTTTAATTTAGAGACTAACTTAAAAGTTTTTATAATAGTTGAGGGACCAAATTGAGAGTTTAATTATTAAATAATTCTTTGTGCCCCGTAAAGTATGCGAATATATTAATGAAAAAAGGGGAAGCACCAGGAGTGCACATCACACGGCCCGTGCTCCTAATATGGTCTTGCGTTTCTATTTTGCCTTTACAATTGTCCCCTATATGTCATATCCCATGATAAGCCAACAGTTTAATTAATTCATTGCTAGAAAGTAAAATTTAATGTGTAGTTATATTACACTACGAACTAATTATATTAATTACAGATTTAAAAAAAAATACTAATTAATCATAAACTACTCTACTCAATAACAATTTTATTAGTATCCAAGGGAATGCAAGTGGATTACCACTTGCACCATTACCCTTGGATAATCAATCAGTTCGGCGATGCAAGGAAACATGCATCCAAATGAATTGGGTATTCAAGCAATTCAACTATGAATTCAAACATGTATCCAAATTTCATTGGATGCATTATAATAATAAACAGAGAATAAATGTATTCCTCATCATATAACTTATATAATTGACAGTTTTATTCCCCTAACGCCATAGGACACATGCAGAATGAGTTAGAGGAAGCAGGCCTAGCTATAATTAAAATATGTACTAGTATATGCATGATCTCATTTTTATTTTTTATTTTTATGTACCAAATCAACATAGATTCACTGAATCAACATACAATCCATAAACGAAATGTCTATCCACATGTGGGGCCGTGGTGCTTAAGAAAAATATGCATAGCTTAATTAGGAAAAAAACTGCATGCTTTAATTGTGCAGGAATTGTGTTCCAACCACAACATTAATAATCAAGATAAATAATTAAGAACAAATTAATAATCAAAACAAGCATAATATTAATTATATAAATTATAATGCAACAACCACACAGGAATAATATTCAAAACAACCTAACAAAGTATTGACTCAAGTCTGTAAACTTCATAAATGCATGTCTCTGTGTGTATATATATTTGTCTTCAACTTTGTATTGTTTGTACCCCAAAACAAAAAACTTTCTATTGTTGCTGCATTGCAATTTGCAAGGAAATTTCAATTCATGGTCCAAAAATCAATATATATATATATATAAACATTTTTAATCAAGTGTATGGTCACACACATGCATCAACTTTAAAAACACTACTTAGTTAATTTATGCAAGGTTTTTCTATCTATATATATTCTTTTATCAGAAATCAATATAAAAGGATACAAAAAACACTTTGAAATTAATCTGCTCAATCACACTGTCACCTTTTACTTGCAAAAGATTTTTTCTTTTTCTTTTTTTTTTTCCCGAAGGAGTTATATTTCATTCTTTCCAGAACTCACATTTACTTGTAAAGAAAATGGACTCCTAAGCCCAATGGAGCTTTAGTCGATTAATCTAGGTCCATTTACCTATTTTCTAAGCCCATAAAACATCTTCTAACCTAAACAAACCCACAAATCACCAACGGCCCAATAGTCTATTATTCTAGGCCCATTCATGTTTCCCCTTTTTCTAAGTCCATAAAACATAACCTAAACAAACCCAAAATAATTTCCCCCCGTTCATTTTAAGGCCCAATAGTCGACTTTTAAATTTTGCA